CTTGGTAATCTTTCTGAGCAAGACGTTGATCTTGTCACGCTCGGCACGCTGCCAATTGTGCGTGGCCGCGACATACGAAAAGTGGCAGAGCACAAAGGCATTGACCAGGCGGATTAGGTTGTCTTCCTTGAGGCCTTGGTAGTGGTTGGCCACCCGCCGAACCAGCCGAACCGCGTTATCCGTTTTGGCGGCGAGCTTGAGTATAGTCTTGCCGTTGGAACCATTGGACTCGATGGTCATGCCGAGGACCCGAATGGAGTCAACTCTGGGTATTGCACTGCCATCTCCGGTGTAGAGCTTGATATCACTCTTCGAGATCGGCTGCCAGTTTTTGGGCTTGGGCCCTCGCCTAGTGGGTTGGTAAAGGAGAAGCTCGGACTTGCTTGGGGAACACCTCAGGCCTGTGGGACGGAGGTAATCTTCCGTGGTGTCTACGGCCTCCTGCAGGGAGTGCTCGACTTGCCCGTCGCTGCCACCTGTGCACCAAATGGTAATATCGTCCGCGTAAATTGTTAGTTAATGCCTTCGATACATGAGAGCCTCTTGGAGAACCCGACCATGACAAGATTGAACAGGGTGGGCAATATCACTGACCCTTGTGGCGTGCCGCGCGATCCCAGCTCGATCTCCTCGGAGACAGTCTCCCACACTGAGGGTGGCTCTCCTACGGGTCAAGAACGATTTGACATATTTGTAGAATCTGACTCCAAGGCCGAGCTCAGCAATCGACCGCAACACGAAAGAGTGAACAACATTGTCGAAGGCTTTCTCTAAGTCGAGGCCGAGAATGGCTCGCATGTCTCGAGTGTTGCAGTCAATGACTTGGTGCTTGAGCAGCTTCATAGCGTTTTGCGTCGAAAGCTTGGCCCGAAAACCAATCATGGTGTACTGGTAGAGCCCATTGTCTTCCAGGTACCGAGTCAACCTATTGAGGACCACATGCTCGGCTACCTTTCCCACGCAGGATGTGAGCGAAATGGGGCGCATGTTTTCCAAGTTGGGTGACCTCCCCGGCTTAGGAATGAGCACGGTGCGCGCGACCTTCCACGGGTCGGGGACCTCGCCGCTCTTCCATGCCTCGTTGATGACCTCGGTGAGGTAGTCGATTGACCGGTCGTCCAGGTTGCGCAGGGTCTTATTAGTTATGCCGTCGGGGCCCGTGGCAGACCTCCCATTGAGCCCGTGAAGCGCCTGCCGAACCTCTTCGTGGCATATCTCGGCGTCCAGTTCAGTGTTGGCCGGTCCTGAGTACTCGGGGTACGTTGTTGCGGGGTTCGAGTCGACAGGGAGGAACTTTTGCACCAGCTGCTTCAAAACCTCCTCTTCTGAAGAGGACTGCTTGGCTTCGTGCATGGCTCGCGCTAGTACGTTCCGCTGGTTAGTTTTGGTGTTAGTCTCGATGAGCAGGTGCTTGAGCAGGTTCCATGTCTTGCCATTACGCATCTGGCCATGTACCGAGTTGCACACCTCGTCCCACTGCTGCTTGGAGTGGACGCGACAGTGCTCCTCGATGGTCTTGTTTAGGTCGGAGATTTTCTTGCGCAACCTGCGATTGAGGCGCTGGCCTTTCCAGCGGGCGAGAAGTGACTGCTTGGCCTCGAGCAGGTGGGCAAGGCGGCTATCCATTTTTTCAACCGGAAGGTCAGTACTAATATTCTTGGTGGTACTTATGACGTCCTCTCTGTGCTGACTAATCCACTCCTGTAGGCTTGGCCTGGTTGCAGGTAGGGGTCGGTCGTTGCGGACTTTGCGAAACTGGTCCCAGTTTGTCCAAGAAAACTCCCGTGCCCTCTTTCGGACCATTAGGAACTGCGTCACCAGGACGTAATGGTCGCTACCTAAGTCAATGTTTGAGTTGGCTCACTGTACATCGGGGAGATTCTTGACGAAGGTCAAGTCGGGAGTGGAGTCTCTGCAGGATGAAGTGCCCAACCGAGTTGGAAAGGCCTTGTCGGTGATTAGAGTCAGGTCCATGTCCGTCGCGTTCTGCCACAGTTCCGCGCCCTTGCTGGTATTGTAAGGGTAGCCCCAAGTGTGGTGCGGAGCATTAAAATCGCCCGCCACAATCAGGGGGTTGGGACCTGCCAAGTTGACGGCCTTCTTTATGAGGGCCCTGAAGCGCTGCCGTCGGTCCTTAGGGCTACTGTACACGTTGAGAAAAAAGATGCTGCTTCGGTCCGAGCTGCGCGGCAGAATCTCGGTCATGACATATTCGGCGCTGCTGGTGGCCATTTTGAGGTCGTGAGAGATGTGTGTGAGCTTGTTACTGACCAAGGTGCAGACGCCCCGGCCATCGGAATAACGCGAGATGGGCTTGTAACAAGTCAGTGTGACGTTTGGAGTTAATGTTTCCTGAAGCAGAATGACGAGGGGTTTTTCGCTAGGGCATCGAATGTACTGCTGCAAGGACGCCTTTTTACTAGGGAAGCCCCTGCAGTTCCATTGCCAAATAAGAAACATCTCACTTGGCTTGGCCATCTTGGTGCTTTTGTGGGCTGGGGCTGCCCTCAGATTGGCTAAGAATAGCGTGGACGATGGGGCCCGTAGCGCCGGGCTGGGGTTGTACGACGGCGGTTGAGGTCAGAGCTGGTTTCACTACGCTTTCGAGAAACGACTCTACCTTGGATACTCGGTCGTTTTGCGCGGACAGGGTGATCTGCAGTTGGGCGAAATTCTCCCCGAGCTTATTGATGCTTTCACTGAGCGCGGATAGCGTGCCTCGAAGCTCAGACCTGACTCGAATCGCTACACTTCCCTGTTCGTAGGCGACGGCCCTTTTCTTGGGAGCACTTTGACCCTCACCGCTGCTGTCGCCGGCTTTAGTGCTGTGCACCTCCATGGGTAAGGGCATTGTATCGGCGACGCATGCGACGGCGGGTTGCGGTTGTGGGTTTCTCGCGTTCTTAATCTCAGCAATTTCGGACAAAAGCCTGTTTATGGTTTCCTTCATCGCTGCGTTCTCGCGTTTCAGCTGGGAAATCTCGCGCGCGCTCTCCGCATGCTCTGGGAGTGACCCCGACAGTACCTCAGCTGGCCCTCCTCGGACCGTGTCGGCCCAAGTTATAGAGCCCGACTTCTTGCTTCTCGCTGACACCCCGCTAGGCTGCTGTTGACGCCCGGTAGACCTGGATCGAGACCTGGAGCGGCTCCCAGACTTGTAGCGCCGCGCTCCTCCTCGGGACCGGGAGCGGCTCCTGGACCGGGAACGGCCCCTGGAACGGGACCGAGAACGTCGCCTGGAACGGCCCCCGGAACCACGGGAGTGCTGGAAGTCCTTCCCATCCGTGGGGGGTGATGGTGGTGCCGTGGCTTGGCCTTGATCGGTGGCGCGAGACTTTTCCAAGCGCCTTCGTCGCACGACATACGGGATTTGGAATGTTTGCCTACGGTCCTTGTCAGCCGTGAGGTGTTGCCCACCGCACAGCCTGCACTTGGGGGTACACTTGTGTTGCGCGTCAGGATTTGAAGCCCCACAGCCCCGACATACGACGTCACCTGGGCTGGGACACACATCAGCACGGTGACCGAGCCGACCACAAGCGTAGCAAATGTCTATTTTCTTGCGATAAAGCGAACATTGCACAAGGGTGGGGCCGTAGCATACAAAGTTTGGGACTCTATGACCGTCGAAGGCGACGATTACCGTACCGGTGCTGCCTATGCGCTTGGCTGCCAGGGCGAGCGGGTTTCTTTCATTTACGATCTTGTTGTCAATATCATTCGGGCCGTCTACGAGTGGAATACCTCGGATCACGCCCTTGCACGTGGAATGAGGGGCGGCCTCGTAGGCACTGACCTCGTATGTTCGGCCCATGACGACGATCTGCCGAGCTTTGACGTAGTGGTTGGCATTTTCCCTTCTAGGTGGGCTGACAACCATAATATTCTGCTGCACGTTGGGGCATAGCGTGTCGCCCCGCAAATCTTTGGCGCAGATGCTTGTGGCTGCCAGGATTGCATCAGCCACCACAGTGCAGCCGGTCTTGGCAATATTGAGGCCTCCGCGGGGCCGAATCACGATCTTCGTATCCTCCCTGGGGAGCTGGGGCATCCGGCCAGCGCGGATGATTCTAGCCTTGATGTTATTGCCACTGTTGTGGCCTCGCGGGGCCTCGGCCGTTGTCGACTTCGTCTCGTTGAGAGTACCACCATTAGGATTAGTGCCTGCCGAGCGCGCGCCAGCTCTTCTGGCGCCTGCAGACTGCCAACCTCGGTCTTCTGTCACCTCTTCGGGGGTTATGTCCTCCCCCACCACCTGATATTCCATTTTTTTTCTGAAAATAAGCCCTGAAAAGAGCGAAAAGGGCACCCTGGAACGGCGACGTGGCTGGCGTCGCGCCGGCGTGGGCTTACCTCGTTAGGCTTAGCCCAGGCGGTGGCCGGCTCCTGAGAAAAAAACGTTCCAAAACGTGAAAATAGTCCACTCACACAGCAGGTTTTGGCATCAAAATAGTCCTGGCACTTTCACTGATGCGACACAAACAATGCTGAACGCGCACTCGAAAAATTCACTTGACTATCATTGTAGGAAGCAGGAGCCACTCCTGTGTTTTTGGTGCTAGGTTTTTTTTTCTAATTTCGCGCGATGTGGTTACGGACACCAGAGGCGGTGGTGGACAAATGCGCGGGACCCGAGTTGTGATCTCATGACAGCTATCTCTGTAAGAACTTTCTGGGCCTTGCTTTCGAACATTTATTCTGCGTTTGTGGTTTCATCTGACACATAGCTACAGAATTAAAATATAAAAGTTGTCACAAATAAACTTGGTTGGAGGCAGTATCATTGAGGAGTAAACAGTACTCTAGCAAAACAAGGTAGTTGAACAATATTTGATTTGTTGACAAGTCATGGCTTTCATTGGAATTATCTGAAGGGAACCATGACTGGTTAAAAATTTATCGTAAAATATATTGTGAATAGAGTAGTATATGAAGCAGCTCTAAACGAAGACGCATTTCGCATGACGCTTCCCAATAGTAGACTTTAATGATGCAAACCAACATGATGTTTATTCGGGAAGATGGTTATTCATAGTAGAATTAGGCGGGATATTCCCTGTGGTCATTTCTTGCTGCTGTTGTTGCGTTGAATTGGGTCCACGAGCTGAGGCGCACCCCGCTCTTGCCTTGAGATCTGTACGATAGCAAAATGGCATGTGTCATTTTCGCAAATCTATCTATCTATCTATCTATCTATCTATCTATCTATCTATCTATCTATCTATCTATCTATCTATCTATCTATCTATCTATCTATCTATCTATCTATCTATCTATCTATCTATCTATCTATCTATCTATCTATCTACCTATCTACCTATCTACCTATCTATCTATCTATCTATCTATCTATCTATCTATCTATCTATCTATCTATCTATCTATCTATCTGTCTATCTGTCTGTCTGTCTGTCTGTCTGTCTGTCTGTCTGTCTGTCTGTCTGTCTGTCTGTCCGACCGACCGACCGACCGACCGACCAACCGACGGACGGACGGACGGACCGTCCCGTCCGTCCGTCCGTCCGTCTGTCTGTCAGTCTGTTTTGTTGCTCGCTCACCAGTCATCTGGCATAACGTATATACAAAATCGTGCGTCTACGTACGTAAGATCATAGAGAGATGCCTATGGGAGCTGCAGCGCTGGTGCTTCTACCAGCATGGGAGTGATGCGTATAGTACAAAGGTTTGTCTAAACTTTGTTCTTTCAGCTCCGTTTGGCTACGTGTGGTCTGGAGCCACTTTGTCGCAAGGTGCATTTCAGCTTATAGTCAGCAGTTTTGCCTTGCCGAATGAAGTCGGTGCAAGATGTTCCCAATTCTTCATTTATACACAAAACTAGCACCAAAACAAAACAATGGACAAAACCATGAGTGCATTCAAAGCAACAAGCATGAAGTCTAAGCAAATCTGCGTATTACCCATCATTCCCATGGAGCCGGAACGATCACAACGTCAGAGTTCCCTTTACTAAATATTGTATGAAACCCTATTTAACTCACAATAAGGTAAAGAAAATCGTCAGCGGAATTATTTAATGTTTATAACCTCAGTTTAGTAATTATATGATATAAATTACTTGAAATGATATGAACGTAAAAAAAAAAAAACGTTTGCCATTGGCCGGTCACAACCCACAACTTTCGAATTACGCGTCTGATGCGATCTTTGTTTATTGTGGACTGTGCTCAAGGGAGTGGCTCACTTTCAAACTTCGATGAATGGATTTTGACCAGCGCGAAATGAAAGAATGCGCGCGTACTTAGATATATGTTCCTGTCAAAAGGGCCCTGTGACACTACTAGAGCATGCATTTTTCATCGTTTCTTCTGGTTCGGTGAAACACGCCGGTATGCGCAAATGGCAAGGCCAAAATGGACGCTCTTATAATTTATTTCGCAGGACAATCAACCTTGAATTGAGGCTATGGCGACAAACTTAGGCAATTTTTTTATGGGAAGAGGTGTCCTGTCATGTGACGTGACGACAAAGATCATTTGCTTTTGATTGGCTTGACGCGACAAATAGCGTGCAATATTCATATGGTGGTAGCTAGGTGATATGCGTGAATGCTAAAACAATAAAAACACTTTTTATACTTTCTCAGAAAGCCATCGTTCCTCTTTATGAAATATGTATTTTCAGAACAACCAGCGCAGCACTAAGCCTGCAAACATGGCTATGGTATGCCAGCAACTGAAATTGGAAACGCATGCCGCGTTTTTAGCCAGCGAAAAATGCGATAGGTGGTGGGCGCTGGCATTGCTATATTGTCTATAGCAATTCCTTAGAACGCGTCTTGCAAGCTAGTCCTGAAGTGACTCCGCCCGAAGCGCATGTGTGTATCTTACACAGTGGGACTGTGGGAGCGTCTGCTACCCGACGCACGTGGTTCGTAGTAACCACGCTAACGATACCATCAAGAAGAGCGGTATGAAGGAATAGTGTGAAGGCCACCATGACGTGACGTTTCCGGTATGCCTTCATGAGACGCGCGCTGTGATTGGAAGTGGTCTTTGACGTCAGCAGCCGAAGGAAATGCGAAAGAAAACGTTTCTTGTCGTCGTCTGCTCGAGTTTTGAACTTTGGGGACTCATATCTTCACTTTCCGTGCACTAATTCTCATCATTTTTGTTGAATTTATCTCAGTAATCATTGCTACACGCGTTTCAGTGCTCAATAAAGCTGTACAAATAGTGTGAAAGGGTTCGTTTAGATAACGAAACGGAGTCACTTGCTACCGCGTACGTCACTATTTGATATTTCGGCTTTGGAAAGAAAGTCCCACAAAACTATGTATTTGGCAAGTGTTGCCTTTGCTTTAATATAATGGCTTGTGCTTTCTAACGACATTACGGTTAATTGAAGTTACAGTGAACCACAGTAAAAATTAGGTGACTAAAGTCAATTGATTTTGATCTAAATAATTCAGACTGACTCATAAGGCACGAGCTTTCACTTGCGGTCTCGATAGCACTAGGTAATGCGACCTGGTGATTTTTCTTATAATTATATTGAGAGTGTTACTAACCAGCAAAAACAAGCGAACGTGTCCTCGAGTTAATAAAGTGACGTCTTAGTCACAGTCTTACACGTGATGTTCATGGGAAGTGCTATGAACTTTAAATAAATGCAACTGGTGGTAGTTTAGTTTTGACCTTATCTTGCGTATCAATGTTTCTGTGGAGTGCGAAGACTGTTCTCTGAACCGGTGCGATTTGCGGAAAAGTGTAGGCGGAACTTTCCTTTTTATATAGGCCTACTGTTACGCGTCACAAAGGCAGACGTCGAAGGTAGTTTTCCATTGATGAACTATGGTGTTCAGCATGGTGACGTGAATGAACAATGAGAGCAACCACTAAGCATTAATATCTGTATTGAACACCTGTACTTGCATATGCAGTGTTTGAGAGTATTTGTCACGCCTGATAAAATGGAATCGCGTCTTTCTAAACTTATTTCACAAAAACCTACAGCCGGCAATCAGTATTCATTTTTCTCCAGTGGTGCACTTTCTTCCAATTTGTGAAAGTACAATTTCAAAATGTCGAGGTTTTAACGCTCATATATAGATTCCAGCAAGCCACACTATCGACAGTAATTGAAATGCACCTCACAAAGGGATCATGAGAAGTACTTCAGGCTTGATGTATGATATTGTCCTAACGCTATTTTGTTGCTCCAACTTCTCAGGTTATGTAAACGTGACGCTCTGCTCTAGCAGTCTCGTGGAAAGAAATATGCGCTGGTAAAAAAAGCGTTGTATTTTTTATTCATTTTAAAAAGCCTGCTTACGTTTTTAGTTTATGACAGTGGCGCTAATATAAGGAAATGGTAAGCTTTGTGGTACCACAACGTTTTTCTGCACTGCCCCTGCGTGCAGATTACCGCGGACGGTAGCAGTCGCTAAATACAATATATATGGCCACAAAGGTAACAATATCTCTGGCTAGCTGTGATGAATGCTAACACACTCCTGTTTAGCCGAAGAAACTCAGTTTTTTCTCATTGAATAATAATTTAACTAATAATTGAAAACGTTTTAGACAAACACCGACTAGAAAAAGCACATAATTGCACAAAAAATGCTAAGCTCACTCAAAATCTTTCATAAATAAATTTTGCTCATCAGGCTCACTCGGGTTCAGTCACCGAAACACACTAAAATATTACCACTCTGACTTACTCAGACTCACGGCTCGATCTTAGGCATAGTATGTGTGAGTGAGCCGACCACATAAGTCAGTCAGTTAGTCTATAATTGGCTTTTCGGGACCGACACACTCAATGACGACCAATGGCATGTTGCTGAGTGTTTTCCCGGAGTCAATAAGACAATTTGTTTTTGTGTTCAAATAATTTGTCCAATTAGGTCGCATGAATGAACCTGCTTTTGAAGCTACAAATCTGCGGAAAAGTTCAACAGAAAAATTTCTAGATCTGTTGTAAGAACGTCTGATCACACTGTTTTAAGCTTTATATCTGTCAATTTGTAGTGTTTTCCCGACTACTACAGATGCCCATGAAAAAAAAAAAGCTCTTGAATTATCCGTCGGCGCACTTGCAGACCTCCCTTAGGTCGCACGTAGGAACGTTATGCTTCCATCACTTCGGTTGGTAACAGCGATAACCAGACGCAATGGTTAACACTTTTCTTGCTGCTAGCAAAACATGCTCATCGCACAGGCTTCACAACGCTAGTGGTCCTGACGAGACAGCACAACCGAGCATGAAACAGTCGTTGGCATGCGGATCATCACAGAGCACTGGAATCTTCGCGTGCGCATGACGAAACATATCGCGCGGTATTGTATTTCGCGACACCTGTAATAAGCGGGCAAACACCCAATTGGGAGATAAGTATGAACTGTCTCATCGGACGCTTTGGAAACCGTTCTACAACTATATGATCAAAATTTTAGCCCAGGTCAGTTGCTCCAAAAGTTATTGCATAAAAGTGGCCTATTAAGAAATTATGTAAAAACAGAACAAATAATATGACTCACCCCAGGTGACAGTCAGCAAAATGCATTTGGTCGCGTTGTCATTCAGTACGTTGAGATATTTTTAAACCTTGCTAGAGATAGCTGGGACACCTTGTGTGTGCGTTGCTAAATCTCAGATGTGCATAATATCTACGTAAAGTAAAGTTGATCACAAGCCATGCAAAAAGTAAGCGAGACTTACGACTGCATCTCTTCATGCAGAGCCAACATGTGGGAAAACCGTTAGCGTTTTGCGCATATTGATGCTTTCCCAATTTATAGCAGGTGCCTTTGTCCGCATCGAAAACCCACTTTCTACGATTGTACCTTGACCCAACTTCTGGCTTTAGACTGCACACGAGTTTGACTCGTTTCTTTGCTGCAAATAAAATAGAAAACATAAGCACGGTAAGAAGACATCATTCATTTGTTCAAAAATTAGTCTAAAATAATTCAAAAAGTGAAGCGGCTGTCTTTGCTCATTGAGATATGGTAATCAATACAGCTGTATTGTTGACCACCAGACAGAATTTTCAGTTCTTGAGGCTAAAATTTGTTTGTTTTTTCCACCACTGAAGACAAATAGTACAAGCATTGGGCGAATTGGTGTTGCAATGTGAATGCCATTTTGCGCAAATAAAAAAACAGACAAGAAAGGAAGAAAGCACTGACTGTATCCAGACTAATGAGTAGGAGCTGTTGACGGAAAAACACACGTATAAAGGAAAAGTAAGGACACGTTTTTATGATAACAGGTGTGGCTAGATACTTCATTTCAAGTTAAGGCAGGCTCTCCGATGGCCTCAACACATACGTCCCCGGACTTGTGTGTAAAAAAGGCCTAACCGGTCTCTCATGTGGACCTATTCTTGAGCCTCGACAACACATTGATCTCAACACCACATAGGCCAAATATGGTACATGTGGAGCTAGCGAAATGGCCACGAGCGCATCATGAATGGCCCTATAGACTCCGACGCAACGTCGACGCGTGCACAGCGACCCAGCGCCAGCGAAACGCGAGCACCTTATAGACTGACGCTTGGCGCGACCGGTGCGACCAGCGTCCGTCGTCGCGGCCCGGGGGCAACCGGCGCGAAATGAGGCATGGTGTATTCCGCACCAATGACGTTACCCAGACAGCACTGCATGCCTCTTTTCGTGACGGAGGGCCGCCGGCCACGCTCAAACGCGCATGCGTCTAAGCAACGCAGCGCGAAGTGCACCTCCGAGTATGAGGCAGGCAGATCGGCGTGCGGCGTGGCAACGCCGTCGTGACGTGACAAAACGAACGCCGGCACGCACGCACGCTGGGTCCCGTTGAAGCGTATTGGTGCCTTGAGTGTGACATCTAGCCATGTTCTTACATGACACACTACTCATGATTATCATGTTTGCACCAGTCACATACCTTCGTCATCCATTCACATCCCGTAATACCAAACTTGGTATATGTGATACCGAAACGGCCGTGAGCGCATCATGAGCGTCGCATGTAGTCATGTTTTTACATGACACGCGGCTCATGATTATAATGTTTGCACCAATTGCATACCTTCGTTATTCGTTCACGTTTTGTAATGTCAAATTTGGTAAATACGAAGCTAGCGAAACGACCGCGAGTGCATCATGAGCATGTAGTCTAGTCATGACTCATGACTTACATGACATGCATGTCCTGATTTCGTTGTTAGGATCTGTCGCTTGCATTCACCATGCAGTCCTGTCATACCATACCAGTTTTGCAACATGTCATGTGAATGAAACCACCGCGACACAAGCAAGAAGACGAAATCTAAATCATGACTTTCATGACATGCATGTCAAGATTTTCATGTTATGACTAGTCACTTACGCTCGCCATACAGTCAAGTTAAGCGGTTCCAAGTTTTGTATTCATACTATTATTGAAACGGCTAGGAGAGCTAGAAGTCGTAGGCGGCTAGATAGATAGATAGATAGATAGATAGATAGATAGATAGATAGATAGATAGATAGATAGATAGATAGATAGATAGATAGATAGATAGATAGATAGATAGATAGATAGATAGATAGATACGCTCAAAGTCGCCGAGGTTCGCTGAAAAAATTCTACGTATTCAAAAACGCTTTAAGGTGCCTTTACAAGAAAAAAAATGAGACTTTGTAAAGTAACCTTGACTTCAAGAGATTGAGTACGCGTATATACATTTTCCTTCAAAAAATAACAAAAGTCATAGTCATAGCCTATTCGAGTGTTGACAGTTCAACTCCTTAGAGACGCGCAGTAGTAAGAAGTAAGAAAGAAATCCACACATATCCAAGAAGTGAATGATCATGAGTGGACGAAGCTAGGTGCTAAGGTGCGCAATGTCTGTGTTGAAGTCACTGAATAGTATAAAGAATAGACAGTTGGACGTAAGGATGGATGGACGGACACCCGCACGAACGGATGGAGGCACACATTCACGGATGGGTGGAGGAACAGAATGATGGCTCTGGTGGTCATGTATCGTGCTGTCATATACTTTTATTGACGTAAAGATAGCCAGTTTTTTTTCACACAAATGTTTTTATGTTTTTTTATGTGCAGGTGTTTAGTTTCGGTTTTGTTTCTGGGTAGCGTGACTGACAACGAATAACGCTAGGCCCTAAGGAGCTCCGAGCCTAAGAAATGATATGGCCTCCTCCCGACTACTAAGAAGCGACGAGGTCTTGAAATTCACATGATAACAATAATGTGGCTTTCATTAAAGTGTTGCAACGCCAACTGCTCCTAACATCGCCCTAGTAGTTAACCGTTCTGAAACATCTGTTTGAAACGCACCTGAAAGAAAAAAATTGCCCGCAGCTTCCCTCGGGGGAACACTGAGGAGGATGCGGAGCATATAATTCGTTAACGGGGTGTTAAAGTGCGACTTACTTGGGTCGATGGCTAAATTGGTTAACGTGGTTGTGAAATGGGGTGTTAAATTGCGACTTACTTGGGTCGCTGGCTAAATTGGTTAACGTGGTTGTAGGAGGGGTGTTAAATGAGTGAACACGTACGACACGTATGCGAAAGGGCGGTGTTTATTTATTGCGACGAACTTTGAGCACGATGGCTTTTAGATGCCACTTTGGCCGGCGCTGGTCGAAGGGACGTCGATCATTGCGACCTCGGACGTCGACGCGCCGTACAAACCGACCGACGAGCGGCAACTGAGCGAGCGAGCACCGACCTTGAGTATATATACAGCGCGACGGCGCATGCACTGTCAGCCGTCGAATGTTCGAGAAGGGGGAGAAGCGCAACGGCGCATGCGCGCGCGTCAGCTGCCGATGTTCTCGAAGCGCGACGGCGCATGCACGCGCGTCAGCTGCCGATGTTCTCGAAGCGTGACGGCGCATGCGCGCTACATTATACAGCTAGCGAATGTTCGTGAAGAGGAGAAGCGCACGCGGTGTGTAGAGGAGGAAGGGTGCACAGATGGTGGAGGAGTGAAGCGCGCGCGGTGTGTAGAAGAGGAAGGGATGCACAGATGGTGGAAGAAGGAGGAGGAAGCTTGCGGACGGCGCCGCACTTCAAGCCTCGAGTATTAGATGCTCCGCATCTAAAAGCGTACGCCTATTGCATCACTAATGATGACACATTTATTTAATAGTGAAATAGCGACTACCATACTCACGCAGGCAGACCTCCTGGCACTTTTTTTCAGAACGAAATTGGTTTCTGTTTCCACCACAGCCACCATAGATAAATATTTTGCAGTGAAAGGACCAGTGATCAAAATACCAGGTAGGTATAAATGCTCGGCATACTCCTTGCACTGGAGGTTTGTAACATCTTGAAGGCCGCCCTCCTACAACAACAAAACAAATCTATTAGCAACAGGTATCAAAGTTTAACCTATGTGAAAAAGTTAGAAAAGACAAAATGTGATGAATATTGACTTTTGTTGGAGTTGATTGAACAATGTCTAGGACGCGCATTTAATAATTTACTTCCGAAGATTCTGCTGCATACGACCCGATCGAAAACGTTTGCGCCTTTATAAAAGGTAAAACGGAAAATGGCGGAGGTAACAAATATAAAATGTTCAGGTGATTGATCAAGCCTAATAATAAGCTCGAAATACTCAAGCGTCCAAACCAAAGCCACACAGCACTGAATTACCGTTCACTTGCAATGATACTCAATAAATATATAGTTCTAACTTAATTGCCCTTGGCGGAACTGTGTGGCTAATTAAAACTGCACTTTCGCTTTCAGGTGCCCCACACACAAGAGTTGCGGATGAGGCTGTACTGTATTCTGATGATTACTAGAACAGCATTACATTTTAGTAAGTTCAATTCAAAATTTTAATAGCTAACGTAAAATGAGTTGGCGACTCAGTCAGATAGTATGAAGTACACAGAATGATCGCGATTTAGTCTATAACCTAAACACCTGAATGCGCAATGTATGTTTGAACCATCAGCCCAAAGAAATAATCGAGTGCACTTCTGTTTCCGCGTTCACTGCCGCAATTAAAGGGGCAGAATGATAGCGCTTTTATCACTAGTGCTGTAGCTACGTGTCATAAGAGCTTCGCTCATGAATCACTTATCACTGCTCGATGCATTCTTGTTTTTTTTCAGTTATACCTCTGATAATATAGAGTGTGGTAAAATGTAAAATTTACTTAACAGACACTTGTTTTCTCTTCTTTTTTCATCATTTGAAGCGTTAGACAACGCATTGTATCAAGTGTCTCTACTTACGTTATCATACTCATTGTTCGCCATTACGTATCGTAATATTGTATTGCAGTGCCACATCTCACACGTCATTTCATTCTTTTTGCTGTTTTGTTTGTAAGCTCTTTTTTATTGTTCAAGTGCATTTCCACAGAAAATTTGACGCCTCCACTCCTGCTTAAGCCTGGAAACTCAGGTCAGCAGTAGTGAATAAATAAATAAATAAATAAATAAATAAATAAATAAATAAATAAATAAATAAATAAATAAATAAATAAATAAATAAATTCTTATTATCGGGAAAGTCATCGCCGCTACCTTCTCCCCGCAGTAGGGTTGAAGAAAGCAGAGGAGCGCATTTGGCTTCGGCTTCAGAACACAATGCCCTGCCGTAGTCAAACATTTCGGCCCTGCGGTCACAGGACAGTGCCCATACTGTGAGGAGGTGGTAGACATCTATAACATGGTAGGTGGTTCGGCTCATGAGCCAAATTAACGCAGCCATTACTCCACACCTAATCCTTAGGCGACATGACTGGGAGGTAGCCCTGCTTGGCTGCTCAGACCTTCAGGCCCTGCAGGCCTTGGTTCAGTGAGCCAGGACGGTGCTTCAACCAATGGGGTCTGAGAATAGAGACTCTGCCTAGTCTTTAGGAACCTCTAAAGACATCCTATACCTCTCTTTTGTAATTCATAAACTGCGACTACCACTTTCTAGGACGGATGCTGCACGAGAGCTCCGCAGACTTGCTCGCTGGCAACCCACATCGCAATGAAATCAGCCGCACTTCAAGCATGCCCGACTGTACTCGCTTGACCCTACGCTAAGTCTTCAAGTCCCGTCGAGGTTTCGCCGAGCAGACCAGACCCTGTTATGTAGGCTGTGGTTGGGCGTTGCATTTACCAACACCTACGCTTTCCGCATTGGGATGGCCGACACCGCAGCCTGTGGCCACTGTGGCAAGGAGGAAACCATTCAACATGTTCTTTGTGAGTGCCTAGCGTAGAGTAGGTGGCGACTATGCCTTCGCAGGGAACTCAAGAAATTAGATGATCAGCCTCTGTCGGAGCAGGAAATTCTGCAGTATCGTCAGGATGCGACTTCACAGAAGAGGGCCCTGAAAGCGCTGCTGCACTTTGTGCGATTGACCGGCCTTGCTGAACGGTTGTAGCTGGGACGCCCTTCCAGTGTGTGTTTTCGTTTTTTTTTATGAGTGCGCGTGCGTTTTTTTTTCCTCTCTCTAACCCCTCTTTCTTGCCCCTACTTCCCCACCCCCAGCGCTGGGTAGCAAACCAGATGCCAATATCTGGTTAACCTCCCGGCCTTTCCTTTCTCACTCACTCTCTCTCTCTCTCTTGCTTTTCACCACCACTCCCTTTGACTAACGCACCTGTGGCTCCACGTTCTTTAGGTTGACGGGCACACAATTTTCTCGCTCACTGCTCCATAATTTCTTTGTAGGTTCGTGTGTTGTTTTTCGCCCTGTGAATTGTTTCACGTTGCATCATAAACGTTTTTTCTCACAAGCATTGCATTAAAAGCTCTGAAAGAAACGAAATAGCTAAATAGGTTGCATCGGAAACGAAAGCAGATCATGTACGAGAGCGCATGCCGAAGGCTTCCAGGGCGTTCTTTTTTCTCTTCATGGAGCAGCAGCCCACGCTGTTGCTGGTCTACACGCACGCGCAGTCTAAAATCTCTTCGAGCAGACACAGAGTTATGGGGTGGTCGTTCAATGCCGAGTAAATCCCTGCCGCTCTTTCCAAACGAGGCCCACACGCTGCTGTTTTGCCGACTGTGTGCAGAACATTGTGCTCTAACGCCAGCTGCGTAAAGCGCATAAAGCCGGAACATGCTTCATCTCCACGCCGTTCACGCGGAGCACACCGAAAATCGCCGGGTGCGCCGACTACGCCATGACGCCGGACTAAGTTATCCGCTTTTAACCATCGTAGCTCGACCAAGTGGAGCCTGGTCGTGCGTTCACACTACGATGCACTATATCTTGGTCTTAAAGTTAGAAAGACAAATACTGCGGCGATCTAACGTGCTCTTTCATTGTAAAAGCAACAGATGCTCCTCCTTAGGAGGAAGTCTAAGGCGAATGAACAAATACTATATTGCTAGAACAAACGATATATTGCTAGAATATATTGACAAAATCTTTACCTATTTTCCCAGTAGGCTCTTCAGCAGTGGTATTTGAGTTTTCATTATTGATGTTTCCATGTGGTAAGTCGTTCTGATTGCCTCCTAAAACAAAAGGTTGGTTGTGTAAATCAAACAGGAAGTCAGTGGCAGATATTAGAACTCACTTGTGAAGCGCCCCATTACAGTTTCGATGAATTGTCACGGACTATCTATTAGTGATCAAGGGCGACTACCAACTTCTTCAGATTTCGCTAGACCAGAGGCGACGCAATGTATACATAACTCACCGACGCAAACTCACCAGAGGCGACGCATGGCATATCTTGAATGCGATGAATTTCTTAGAGATGTCAAGGCGCTCAACTATTCATCTAACTACCTATTTCAGGCTGTTCCCATGATCACATCCTTCAAAACTGGCTTGAGAGGGTGAGAGAATTGTAGGCATATATCTGGTCATGACATGAATAGTCTGAGAATCTTGTCCCCTACATCATCGCACTCTTTTTCGAAACAGTTTGGACAAACACCCGTTTACGACGAGCCGCCATGTACGCGTGATAAACAACTTGTATCTGCTCAGGAATGGTGAGAACAGGCAATAGTAATTTAACTGTCAGAGTGGTAATTCAAAGTAACATTCGCAGCGTTCACTCGAAGAAAGCAAAAAATTTATAATTGCATCCCAGCAGCAATTGCACTGAAGCATCCTACATGGCCGTGAAGTGTTCTACCAAAGAGCTATGCCAGGTCCAGAAAGTGCTTGGCAATAACACCCTATGCAGGCGTAATATGACATTAGGAGTTTTGAGTTCCAACATTGATGTATATTACAAAAAACGCCGTAGTGAGGGGCTCCGGAAATTTTGATCATATGGTGTTTTTTAACATGCACGGACATCACAAAGTTCATTAACTTCTACCATTTCACCTCCATTGAAATACAGGCACCGGAATCGCACCTGTGACTTTCGGGTCAGCAGACGAGAACCGAAACTGTTGCTCCACTGCGGCGAACAAAGGGCAATGTCCGTGCAACATAAATTGTGGTTGTAATAATGGATTTGAGATTTTATAACAAAGCATCAAACCCTATATGTGTAGTGCAAAGATAAAGAAGCCATGTCCTTTTAACGTCAGTTGTGGTTGAAGTGCTAGCTGCGCTTTCATAGAAGTCTAAGCCCCATATTCACAAACCAACCTTGGCATTGCCTCACGTTTTCCTCAAGTTCCTGTACTCTCTACGTGTGTTATAAGCTCACAGATATTATAACAAGGTAAACGATAACGACAAAATTAGTTCATGCATACGGGCCAACTTTGTTCATCAAGCGCAATAAAGGCTTAAAACCGATAAGGAATACTCGAGGTAAGGTTGAGGTTGGCTTGTGAGTACGGGCCTAAGAAATGATTCATTTGTATTACCGTGGCTTAGTAATCTATATTGCTTCACTGCTTGATCTCTGAGCAGTGCGATAATAAAAGTTGCGTATGACCTTCCCACTACTGCACCGTATTGTGAAGTACGCTTAGATAACCCAGATACCTGACATGTGGCGTTTAACATCTGAAAACTACCATGTGATTATGAGAGACGCCGTATTGGATGACTCCGGAAATTTCGACTACCTTGGGCTTTTTAGCGTACACCAAAATCTGAGAACAAGGGCCAACAGCATTTTCGCCTCCGTCTAAAATACAGCTGCTGCAGCCGGGATTGGATCCCGCGACCTGCGGGGCACCAGCCGAGTATCTTATCTACTAGACCACCACGGTGGTGCTAATTCAGATACCTGAGCTCTAACGTGAGTGCCTATAAAATACGTCAGATCATATGTGAGAATTTAAGGCTGGGCTGGTGCTGCCACTATCCCTGACCGAGTGACCGCTGGCGACTCGCGGTCAGAAAGCGGCTCAAAACAACCGGTGTTCAAACCTGCGTGTGAGCTGTACACGTTGCCGCATCAAATTCACGTCTGCTTGTATATATGTTGCCTTGCCATAGCCCCGTAAGATAACCTGAAATAACCTGTTCCGAGCCACAGTTGTTGGTTAAGAGCTCAATGACTGCAGTCGCGCCTCTGAAAAAGGCAACAGTGATTGACTGAGCTGAAATGGACGCCTCACGAAAAAAAAAAAAAAACACGTACAACCAGTCGCTTTGAGACTGATTTAGGCACGTGTTTGTCGCTAGTTGGTGTGAACAAGCCCTTTATTGTCGATGCAGGCGATGTGCGATCGAAAGCCCACCATCTTAACACAGCGACATTTACAAAAAACCAACGAACAAGCAAGCAAAGGCATTTCAATTCAGCTCGCAATGTTAGGGTCAAAGCCAAAAAAAAAAATACACCAAAGAACTGCTGGAGAACTGTTGCGCGTAAAACTGATTCCCCAGGATGGATTATGCCGAATTTCAAGTGCCGAGCACTTTAGAGGGCTGATCTTTCATATGCCATCGTAGGCTGTAATTGTATGCTGTCGTCGTCGCTTGGTGTAACTAAGGCAAAACAACATATAGCACAGCCAGCAGTAACATATTGAGTGCGCGCTCATGACAAAAAGAAGTCTTCTTGCCATCTTTGATGATGCTTCCCATCTTTGAGTGCTTTAATGATGATATTAGGAGAAGACAATTTTACTAAGGCTAGGGAAACACAACGCACACAAAGTATCAAATTTGCGGGATCAAATCCTCGCGGTGGCGGCTACATTTTCGATGGAGGCGGAAATGCTGTAGGCCCGTGTACTCAGATTTGGGTGCATGTTAAAGAACCCTAGGTGGTCGAAATATTCGGAGCCCTCCACTACGGCGTCTCTCATAATCATACGATGGTTTTGGGACGTTAAACACCACAAATCAATGAACGTAATAAATTGAAAAACGAAGTAAGCAAGATGTAGAAAGAAAGGTAAAGAAAAAATGAAGCATTGGAAAGAAATATTTGTAAAGAGAGAACAGAAAAAATATTGGCAGATTCCCTGTACAGTGGGAATCAATGATATGCGAAGCATGAATGAGAAATGTCGATAAGTCACTTTACAATCAGCACAAAATTACGAGGGGAAGTAAATTATGCCGTACATGACTTCCGTGCCATGGTTATCATGTTCGGATGTGTTGCTTATCTTTGTCATCTACTCACGTCACGTGATACCAAATTTAGTATATGTGGAGCTAGCAAAACGGCCGCGAGCACGCTATGAGCGTGGTATGTTGTCATGTTCCTACATGATACGCGTGTCACGATTATCAAGGTTGCACCAGTCATATATTTCGTCAACAATTGATGTCACGTAACACCAAATTCGGTATATGTGGAGCTAGCAAAACGGCCACTAGCGCATGGTTAATGGTTCAATATACTCCAACGTAGCGTTGACGCACTCGAACTCTAGGCACAGCGACGTTACGTTAGCAAAACGCGAGCACTTATTAAATGCGAAGCATTTCTTAGCGAACTTCCGCGACTTTGAGCGTATCATCTATCTATCTATCTATCTATCTATCTATCTATCTATCTATCTATCTATCTATCTATCTATCTATCTATCTATCTGTCTATCTATCTATCTATCTATCTATCTATCTATCTATCTATCTATCTATCTATCTATCTATCTATCTATCTATCTATCTATCTATATCTATCTATCTATCTATCTATCTATCTATCTATCTATCTATCTATCTATCTATCTATCTATCTATCTATCTATCTATCTATCTATCTATCTATCTATCTATCTATCTATCTATCTATCTATCTATCTATCTATCTATCTATCTATCTATCTATCTATCTATCTATCTATCTATCTATCTATCTATCTATCTATCTATCTATCTATCTATCTATCTATCTATCTATCTATCTATCTATCCAACCGCCTACGACTTTTAGCTCTCCTAGCCGTTTCAATAATAGTATGGATATAAAACTTGGAACCGCATAACATGACTGTATGAAGAACACATATGGTTAGTCATAACATGAAAATCATGATATACATGTCATGAATGTCATTACAATGCATGGTCCTGCAGCTCTTGCGGTGGTTTCGTTCACATGGTATGTTGCAAAACTGGTATGGTATGACATGATTGCATGGCGATTATAAGCGGCAGGCCCTAACATGAAAATCATGACATGCGCGTCTTGTAACAACATGACTACATGCCAAGCTCATGACGCGCTCGCGGCTGTATTTGCTAGCGTAACATATGATAAATTTGGTATTACGGGACGTGAATTGATGACGAAGGCGTGATACTGGTGCAAACATGATAAACTTAAGATGCGTTCATGTAACAACATGACTACATGTTACTCTTATGATGCGCTCGCGGCCGTTTCGCTAGCTTCACATGTGCCAAACTTGGTATTACGCGACGCGAATGGACGACATAGGTAAATGACACATCCAAACATGATAATCACAACATGCGTGTCATGTAACAACATGACTATATGCAACACTCATGATGCGCTCGCGGCCGCTTCGCTAGCTTCACATGTACCAAACTCAGTATTACGCGCGGCCAAGAAATTACGAAGGTATGTGACTGGTGCAAATATGATAATCATGAGATGCATGTCATGCATAGCTGCATTCGTCCTGTATAGCTGCATCATTGCGTGTATTGACATGCCCCACTTCTTCCTCCGAAGAAGTTGAAAAGTTGGGAGGCACTTTTTCAGAGTGACCACATGAGGATTCCAGCAGAGATTTCGATCAATGCTGACTCCCAAGAACCTCTGTGTGTGGGTGTAGCAGACGTTTGTCCATTGATGGTGATGGGATATGACGTCATTGTCTTCCGCGTGAATGCAACCAGCGCCAATTTGTCTGGAAAAATCTCGAGGCTTTGCTCTCTAAGGTACGCCGAAATAGAGTTCGCAGCTTTCTGAAGTTTCGCACGTATCTGCGGACGTGTTACACCAGATGTCTGAACGCCAATATCGTCTGCATAGACAGATCTCTACATAGACACTGTTATAGTTTCCACGAGGTCAATCATGACAAGACTGAATAGTGGGGGGCTGAATGCACCACTTGGGTAACACCGCATTGAATGTAATGCTCAGATGTCAGCCCATCATCAGTTTCCATAAACAATGATCTCATATGAAGGTGGCAGCAGATCCAGCGGTACACTCGCCCACCCAAGCCAAAGAACTCGAAGGCATCAAGTATGGCTTCATGGGAGACATTGTCATATGCTGCTTTGACAAAAAAAATGCTATAGGTAGCCATCGGCTCATTTTTTAGTGTTGTACGTATGTCACGAGATCAATGACGTTGTAAATGGACCCACGAAGACGAGGAAAGCCGGCCATGTCGTCTGGATAAATCTGTATCATTCTAGGAACCACTCGAGTCTGGCAAGAATAATTCACTCCATCAGCTTGCCCACGCAACTACCCAGCGCCATTGGTCCGTATGACGTCAGCTCTAGAGGTGATATTCACGGTTTAAGAATTGGAACCAAACGGCTTGTTTTCTATTCTCTGGGAAGAGCTCTAGCTCGCTGAGACTCATTAAAGTCGTCCAGTAAGGCACTACGTGCGTGATCACCAAGGTTGCACTATAGGCGGTATGATATACCATTTGGCCCGAGCGACGACTACCGATTACAAGAAGCAAGAGCTGCGTCCAGCTCTTCCGTCGAAAAAGGCAGGTCTATGCACGAATCAAGGAAGTGTGGTGCAGTAGCAGCAGTATGGACTCCTGTGCAATGTGGTGGGCCTGCAATCTTCCTACAAAAACCTTCCGCTATATTGATGTCCTTTCTACGTTGGAAAATTGCCAGGGCTTTAAACGAAAAACATTTTTCGGGAAATGTGCGTAGGCCTCGCACGGTTCGCCATATTTGAGAGAGGGGTTTGCGAGGGTGTAGAGAATCGCAAAACTTTGCCCACCGTTGGAACTTCAGTTTATCCATACGGCGCTGGATCTTCTTTTGCATGCGCATTGATATGCGTCGATGTTCAATGGACCTTGTGCGCCGATATGTGCGCTCTCACGCCGACAAATCGCGCGAAGTCGCTCAAAGTCTACGTCCATTGCCGAGGGCCTTGAAGAGCACGTCAGCGAGCACATCGCGCTTTGTGCTGCTTCTTTGATCGCTTGCTCCATACCAGAGGATAAGCTGTTTGCACATGCGTATTCTATGTTGGTTTTGAATGCAGACAAATTGATCCTCTGGTTGGTTTTCGGTGGTTGACCACTGGTGAAGTCTTTGATGTGGATATAACTGGGGATGTGGTCACTCCATGCATCTCGATGTCTAAAAACCACTTGACGCTTGTGGCGAAGCGACGGGACACAAGTTTCAAGTCCAAGCAGCTACTGTACGTGGACCCTCGTAGAAATGTATACGGCTCCCATCATTAAGCAGAGAAAGTTCATGGGCCGACACAAATGAAGCCCGTTTCCCGCATGCGACATTGACTTTTGAGCTACCCCAGATAGACTGGTGGGCATTGAAGTCCCCTGTAATTATCCATAGGCCCAGCATGCTCGCAAGTATTTCATCCGGTCTTTTTCAATAAAAACTAGCTGAAGGGCATAGGTAAACACACAGTAATGGGAAGGCGAGGGTTTTTCGCTGTACAGTCAGGGAAACATACTGGTTTTCGTCGTGTGGTGGCGCAGGATGAATAGCGTAAGTAAGCTAGCGACGAATGTACACAATGACCTTGCTGCTTTAATTGCAGATTTGGGACAGAATTGATACGTATTGGGAAAGTCTGATTGGGTTTGTTGAATTTGGTTCACAAACCGCGATGACTGGAATACGGTTCAAGAACACGTACTGACTAAAATCAGAAATCTGTGATCTAAGTTCTCTTGCGTTCCACTGGATAACTGATGCTTCCCTGACCTCTTTGCGGAACGATTGTTAATCTCCTGCCATGGTTCTACGTGAGGGTGGTGGGGACTGGGCTCAATGCGTCCAGCACCTGTAGGCCACTTCGAGTAGTTGGAATTCCTAGGCTTCTCAGTAGGTCTGCAATGACAGCGACCAGAGATCATAGCGTCGGGATAATCTGCCGATCTACCCTTGACACATCCTCAACGGAAGTAGGCTCGGAGGAAGCTGTAGGGTGGTCAGGCCTGAAAAAGGGCTCCTTCACAGGCTGCTCACGAAGAAGTGTAGGCCAGCCATCCGCAGTTATGAGCTTGTTATCCTCATTTCGCTTCGTGTTTACTGTTTTGCTGGTATTCGAATAAGACCAGCAGGTCAAACTACTGCAGTTTAGTGAAATATAACTAGGCACACAAAAGACCAACGCCATACGAGCGCAGGAATTTTAGGTGATGTGTAAGCAATTTCTAAGCATGCGTACCTTACGATTAAAAAAAAAACAAGTATTATAGATACAATTATATCACGTTTGTGTGATTGATATTGTTTTCATAACGCTTACATATCAGACACCGCTCGCGCTAAGTACTCCGCCTTCGCCGTTGGTGCAGTAAGCCGTGGTTCATAGTCATCTTTAACAGATATTCGTTATTGCGTTCCGTGAATAAAATGTTCGCAAAAAAAGATCACCGATAATTATGATGCTGCCTAATGTGAGTTTTTAGCTGAGCTGTCAAGGTGTTTTAGTTTTGGGAGAAGTTGAGACAAACAATTTTAGAGATACATGTTATCGCTGCAAACGACTATTTTTTTTTGCAACACTCATTCTAGGGAACATATGTCCACCACCCTATTATTGAAATGAAAGAAGGTTTATGGTAGAAATTGGAAGCGGAGATGTGTTCGACTTGCTGCTTGATTGCTTCATCAAGACCAGGTCTATGCAAGTGTTTCGTGAGGTAGTCCCATCAGTGGGTTGAGTTACAATAGAGAGGAGCGGAATGTTCTTGTGTAGAAGTTGTAGGAAAATCTCGTTTGTTTTATGTGTATAATAAAGTCACCAACAATTAACTTTAGTGCGGATTGATCTTTGGTTAATGCGAGGTGTGAATGCGCAACGTCTTTCGTAAGCTTAGCGGGAACGAAGTAAACCCCCACCACCAGCAAGCCATTACTCATTACGGCAGCCAGTTCGCCAACCTCACCTGAGGTACCAAATATTTCGATGAATACCAGGAGCACCCGTACGCAAGTATATAGCCACTACCACTCCTTTCTTGTGGTCTCTGCGAGTGCCACAACAGTTTTGGCAGTCTTATGACTTGTAGGCGCTATTTGGGATCCATCTAGCTTTCAGCAAGGTAAAATAGACAGGCATGCCGAACAGTTGAATAGCGATGCATGTGTATGTGCGGCACATACACATACATCCTTTGTATGTGCGGCAAGGTGGTTAATATTGAGCACTGAGACCAATGGGAGCTGTTGCTGCGCTCTTATGGCGTAGCACATAGCACTTGCACACTGAAACCAATAAAATTTACCAGCTGGGGTTTTGTCCGGATTGAGTTTACTGCGGTAGAATCAGTAGCCATTGTCTACATTTTTGAGATAGAGCCGTTCGGTGTCTCTAGCAGAGCTATGTATACGACTCTTCTTCATTGCTTGCCCAGTTTTTGTGGCACAAACTCGTTCGCGTAGTTACGCGACAAAGACGACGCCGCTTAACACAGTAACGGGCATGCAAAAGATGCGCTCCAAAAACGTGTATTTTCATAAACAAATGGAAGAATATATTTACCTATTGCTGAGCCATTCCCAGATCCAGGCACATGACCAGGTAGAAAGTGCAAACCTCCAGCTGGTACGCCGTTTCCAACGTTGTATAAAAATCACGACAGTTTTGTGTCAGAATTATAGGGAAAAAAGATCACGCGTAACTTTTAGTAGTGCGAAGAAAAATTTTAATGCATTATCTACTGCATTGCAATAGAGATGCTAAGTGGCTAGTGGTCTTATCAGTAATTGAGAGCTTTGTTGCCTCCTCTATAAACTACAGAGATTACATGCAGCGTGATTAAGATGTTCATTGTGGTTGCTTTATGGTCATTATCTCTCGAAAGTGGAGATATGGTATGGAACCTAACCCAATTACTCACCAAATTTTGTAGTGCTCTGTGTTAGCAGGCCTATCGAATGACATAATATATAGTTATAACCTTACTGGATTATTTTTAAACTACTAAACACATGAGTTAGTCAAAAAATAAAGAAATAAAGGAAGTGTGAAAATGGTTTTAGTTTGCGGTATTAAAGCTAGTGCTTGGTGATATAATTTTTCACTTTTGTTATAAATTGGAGAGCAAAAAAAAAAAACCCAGGCAGTAAGCCGTCAGCGTCGCAGCTCAAATAAGATACAATAGCGGAAACACTGCAGCCACAAGTATCAGGAATCCTCTGCCGGCTTGACGTTCAACTACTCTTACCTTCCCTAGATGATGATTGCTGGAAGAATGTTTGGCCATGCTCTCAACGCTTGTTTGTCACACTATACTACGGAAGCTACCAGGACGTTTGTTCACGTAGTAAATGCTTATGCACGATTAAGTACACCTGGAGGAGTGATATGTTTATGTATGATACAGCTTGTTCCTTACCATCACTATTGGCAGTGGGTCCATTTTCTCCTATTTGATTCTGCGCAATGGTTTCTTTCAACCCTGAAAATGACATCTGTGTTAGGGGCAATGAAACAGACATAGACGGAAAGTGGAAGTCCGTAGAGAAATACTCATTAGGCGAGTAGTATTTCATTGCTGAATTATTCGCAGCTTTTGTGGGCTTTCTTGTTTCAAGTTAGCACTCATACTGAGCTGAAATAAATACTTTAGGCGTACAAATGCTTGCAGTTTTTATACAGTGATGCGGTTCAGCACAAACGAGCAACAGGTATGATTTTTTTAAGCGAACCCTTACATAAATGGCTGGGGATGTTGAGTAGAACCCCTAGTAACAATCTAATAGCATTGGTAACCGTCTATTAACAATTGCGCTCTAGTAACAATAGTTATTAGGCAGTCTAAAAACCTCCTCCATGCTATTTTATAAAGACTATTTTATGTACGCCATCTATAGGTCTCCTTCCTACTATTGCATAAATACTATGATGCAGACCACCTAAAAGCCTACTAACAAATTTATAAAAACTTTATCATTTAGGCTGTGTAAAAGCATCCTTTTTAATATTTTGTCAAACTTCATAATGTAGACCGTCTAAGTGTCTAATGCATGCCCTGAAGTCTCATTAATAAGTGCAATTTTTAATTTTACCTCGAGAAGTTTATTAAGCTCTAAATAAGTATAAGAAGTCATAGAACATTTAACCTCCCCTTCTCCTGCCCTAAAACAAGTATGGCGTGCTATTTACACGTACTCGTAGATGCACGCATAAAAACTTTGAATACGCACTCTGATGCATTCATGCCTAAGAGTGCGTATTTAGAAAAACTTTTTACGCTAAAAGCTTGAAAGAATACTTTGGTGAGTCCTGGTGCTGGCCATATTAGGGAACATGGTGGTAACTGATTACTAAAGAAAAAAGAATACTAAAGCGGGCATCATGAGTTTATCCTATGATGCTAATGGTAAGTAGATATAATCTCATTTCCACTTTTTGGAACTGTTAGCTCGTAAAATATTTCGTAACGCCGAGTAGTCCGAACAGTAATATTCATTATCACGAACTGGTGCGCACTCGTTTCGTCCCCTTTGGAACAGGCTCGCACAACGCTTGTGCCATTTGTCAAGCATGGAATAAAAAAAAAACTGCCTTATACCAGCCTGCTACGTGACTAGAAATCACGGAACATCACGCAACCTTTAGTCATGCGGCTAAAAAATCAGAGCTTCACCGCAAAAGCGAAGCAAGGAACGCAATAGCTACAAATTGGAAGGGCACGCGCAGAATGGAAAGCATATCGAAACGTGCCCCGTGTTTCTCACGCGCAAACGACACACAAAACGTACTCACAGGGGCAGATGCACGGGAATAAGCGACTCATTTGTAACTCCACTGTGGCTGAAAAGCGCACGCTTTGCGCAAACAGATACTGCAATGATTGCAGTGATATTTGTGCGCCCGTTAACTACAACAAAATTGTTCCAGGCAAAGCCCGAGGCCAACAAAGACGTACGATCCTCCCCACGAGGTAAAGGCGCGTGAGTAAGCATCGCCCCTCTCCTCTAAGCGGGCAAACTACGCGTTGTTGTGACTGGGGGAATTTGTCGGGCCTTGAGCCATCCAAGGGTCAGGGCGAAGACGGGCCGAGGAGCCGGAGCTGATAACTTGAACGATTTATTTACACTATTTTACATGATGTTGAAGGTAGCGTGTTACATGGAGTAAGCATCATACTAGATGATGGAAGGAAGCTCTCTCCCGAGCGTCCTGCGCTCGCGTTTTTATGCCCCTGAAGAGAGAAAGTCACACCGCCTCCTTCCCAACCTGGGAAGGGAGGAGAGGCCCGCCCAGTTCGCTGCCCGGCGAGGGTATAACACACACAATACACGACACCACTGGCACAGTGCGAGAACGGGGAGTCGGACGCGCCGAGATGACTCTTCGAGGAAACATCGCTCGGGAAAGGCGCCATGGAACGTGAGGAATGTCCCCGAAGATGAATACAAAGCGCTCGGCTCATTGTCCGCTGAATGTTGACGACCCAAGCAATGACCACTCCCTCTAGGCAGCCCAGACAGCGAACAGCCCCCCCCCACCGGTAATCTGTCGGTCGTGCGTGCCCAAAGGGCTTTTTGGCAAGACGAGCCGACGACTCCAAGGAATTCGCAGTACTACTGCTGTGTTGTTGCCGATTCTGGACGTCTCAGGACGCTCTGCGAAGCCGGAACCATTCCACGCGTCCAAGCGGCGCCCAGACATGGGGGCCGATCACAACAGCTCGTCCGCCGCCGGGAAAAAGGACTCGTAGATGGGCAGCCCAACGCTGCACCTTGAAGAGGCCTGGCAGCGCAGCAGCTCTGGAACGGCTGCGGCTCAGGTTTTCTCTCTCGCTCAAGTGGGGTCAGCAGGTCCGTAAGTAGTACTCTCCGTCGAAGGGGCCCCCGCAGGTCGAAGGCTGGGACTGACATTAGTGATCAAATCCGCACAGTACCCAAGCAGCGACAAGGCGGTACACCACCCCTCCCGAGATATGCCAGGCTACTGAACTCTTAGCCCGTTGTCGGCATAAAAGCAGCCACACTAGAACGTTGCCTGGAACGTCCCCAAACAAAGCAATATGGCAACGCTCCTAAAGTTTTGAAGAATTACCTTAAATAAATTGCACTCAAGCCGCAAGTCGCATAGCCTTGAGGCAAATGGCGAGTGAGAAGTGAGAAGGTCGGGAAACTCAACTAACAAATTATATCCCTTTCTCAACGTCTGGCCGTGGCAGGCAGACTAAGTAACAGGTTCACCATGCAGTAAAGGTTAAAAAAAAATCCAAAACGAAAAGATACACGGAATGACATAACAAAATAAAAAACCCGGGCTGTCGTAACTCAATCGGAATGCGCTTGCTCCTTCAAGGGAACCGCCTCCGGGAATTTTGTGGCAGGACATATCAAGGTTAAGATGTAGCGGTACCCTGACTTTGTCACAGGCAGGGGGCCCACAACGTCCACGACAAGGCGGCGGAAAGGTTCACTAATGAGTGGCACCAACTTTAAGGGCGCTTTCTGCTGGTCGTGTGCTTTGCCTATTCTTTGGCACACATCGCAGGATTGCACATACCTCTCGGTATCCTTGAAACAATTGGGCCAATAAAACTCCTAAGTAGACGAGTCTTCGTTTTCTTTTTGCCAAGATGGCCCGACCACCCGCCACCGTGACACAGCTCCAGTACTTTGGCTCGGTATTTCTGCGGAACCACTAATTGATCATAGTGCACCCCCTTCGAGTCTTTGTACTGACGGTACAAAATTCCGGCGCGGCGGTGCAAAAAGACGTTCTTCCGCGCCAACCCCTCCTCCACCATATCGCTCAACTTTTGCAGCGTTTTATCCTCGGCCTGTTCCGCAGCGATAACCTCCGGGCTTACTTTCGATAGCTCCAAGAACCCGCCCATGCAAGGTAGCACGGAAAGAAGGTTAACTTCCTCGCTGGCCTCACTGGAACTCTTAAAGCTGCTTTCGCCATTGCTCGGGACGTTCTCCTGATTCGCGTCTGCCCTTGTTTCGTCGGGGGCCTGTGCCTCTCTATTTTGGGAACTGCCGAGCTCCTTTGCGATCTCCTTTGCCTTAGACCGCGTTAGAGCATGTACAGTGTGTTCTCCAAAGCTCAGACCTTTCTTTCTTAACAGGTCCTCCGAGTGGTTAGAAAAAAGGTAACCGTACTGCTTCGGCACACTTTGTGACACGGCAGCCTCTGTTTCCAGTTCTCCGAAGGGACCCTTGATGAGGACTTTGGCCACTGGCAGACACACACTGTCTTCCTGCGCTACCTGTCTGATCCACGCGCAGTCTCCGGTGAACCCATCCGCGGGCACGTAAGATGGGTGTATTACATCCATAGTGGCCGCAGAATCGCGTAGAACCCGGCAATTTTGCCCATTGACAGTCATCTCTCTTAAGTACGGTTCAAGTAACCTCATGTTCTCATCAGTATGGTTAAAAAGGGAGAAAACGAGTTTTTCCTTACGGCAACCCACTGCTAAGTGCCCCGGTTCATTACATCGATAGCACACAATGGGTTTCTTTGCCTTAAATGCTCTGTCGCGATTCTTATCCTGTTCTTTCTCTTTGCCAGCGCGTCCACTCATGGTCGATTCCCTGTGCGTGTCTTTTTCATTCGTCCCTCCTGGTGCAATAGGGGCATAACTGTTGCGCTCAGACTGCTTAGAATTCTCACGGTATGGTTTCTTTGCGGGTTTGTTGCGCTCTCTTATTTCCTCACGCCTCATGGTGTACTCTTCAGCCAGTTCTGCGGTACGCTCCAAATTCTTTTCCCCGGGCTGATCTAATACCCATAAGCGTGCTTCGTCACTTAGAACGTTCAGGAATTGCTCCGTGCAAATCAACTCGACTACCTTGTCATGGTCTCCAAAAGCTCCCTCGCCCTTAAGCCACTCGGTGAGATTGCACCTCAGACTGTATGCAAAATCGGCAAATGATTCACTGCTACGTTTGCTACTATTTCTGAAACGTCGTCGGAAAGCTTCAGCAGACAGCCGATACCTCTTTAGTAGCGCACGCTTTACAATATCGTAGTCATTCGCCTCATCTCGCGGCAAACGAGCCAGTACATCCGCTGCCTCGCATGGAAGCACGGTCAAGAGCATTTGTGCCCATAACTCACGCTCAAACTTGCCTTCGCAACTTCTCTCAAAATTGACCAAAAATAACCCGATATCCTCTCCCATCTTAAAAGGATTCAGGAGGTCTTTTATTTTTGGTGCCTTGCTTACTGGAGCATTGAGTGTTGCGCCTCCTGAGGTAGTTGCCCGAGCTATTTCTAAGTCTAGGCGCTTCTTATCCAGTTCGTGCTTGCGCTCGCGCTCGCGCACGCGTTCCTGCTCTTCTTTATGGCGCTCGCGCTCCTGATCTTCCCTTTGTTTTTTATATCCTCCCACAACTCCACGATCTCCTCGTCATCTCTGCTTGCCTCCATAGCCCTGATGACTTCCGCCTTTTTAAGATGTTTCCCGCAATCAATCCCGAATTC